ACAGTTGTGAAATAAGTTGCTCACGGATGAGACCATTGCGTAATCCAAACTTTAAAGTCCAATTTCAGAATTTTCTAGTCCTGCCAGCAACTCCCATCTCTTTAATTCATTTAGTTCAATAAGCTCAGCAGATTACTACTGTACTTATAGGTTCTCTATTATCCCTTACCAACACTGTGAAAGGTGTGGTTTGAAATTCATTTCAAAAAGTATAGCCAAAGCTGGGCGTGGTGGTGCAAACCTATAATCTTAGCAGTAGGGAGGCAGAGGTAGGAAGATTGTGAATTTGATTGTAGTCAGCCTGGGCTACAAAGTGAGGCCCTGTCCCAAACTAAACAAAACCCCTCAAGCAAACTATTACTAAAAAGAAAACACAATAGTTTTCTAAAGCACCCAAAGATTCAGCGGGTATGTCCTATCTATGTGTGGTAAATAGTTTTTCTTTTGAAAATACCCAATGGCACTTCCACAGTGCTCCAACTCCAAGCTCCTGGCTCTGGAACTCTTAAGCTACAAAGTGGCAGCACGCTTCTACAATGGAATGTGCACATGACCGTTTTTAGAATTCCTTCTGGCACAGAGTATACTCAGGCCCTCAGGGGACAGGCATGTGACACTCTTAAGTCATTTGACACTTCAGCTTTCCCACTGTCACCATCCCATTCATTCAGAATTGCTGTGGCACCACCACAGCTGCTGGAGGAGCCCAGATGGGTGTATCTGTGTCTGACAGACACAGTGACAGACAAGTGATACCAAAAAGGGCTCCTTGTGACAGGCCTACCAAAGGTCCTTTTAAGAATTAAGTAAATGTATATTATAAAAAGAAATGCAGGGCCAGGAATGTGGCTTAGTGGCAAAGGACTTGCCCTAACATGCATGAAGCCCTAGGTTCGATTCCTCAGTATCACATAAACAGAAAAAACTGGAAGTGGTGTTGTGGCTCAAGTGGTAGAGGGCTAGCCTTGAGCAAAGGAAGCTCAAGGACAGTGCCCAGGCCCTGAGTTCAAGCCCCAGGACTGGTAAACAAAAAAATAAAAGAAAAAGAAAAAAAGACATGCATACTTGTGGCTAAGTAGATAAAATACAAAGGAATAAAAAGGATTAATTTCAAGTGGAATGTTTTAATTCATATAGAATTCCCCCATACATATGGAAACTTTTAAAAAAAATTTAGTCACATCTCTGTGTGTGTATAAGTTTGTATTTTGTAGTTTCTCCAATGGAGATTGAACTTTGGACTTTGCCCTCACTAAGCAAATGTTCTACCACTTGAGCCATGCCCCCAGTTTTTTGCATTTAGTTTGATTTTCTTTTTCTAAGTTTTTATTGTGGAAATACTGTACAGAGGGGTTACAGTTACATGAGCAAGGTAATGAGTACATTTCTTATCAAGCATTGTTGCCTCCTCCTTTGTTTTTCCTCTACCATCCCTTCCCTCCCACCTCCAAAACTACACTGCCCCTACCCCCCCCCACTCCCCACTCCTTTACTCTCCACCTTCCCACCTCCACTCTCCCCAGCCCCTTCTAAATTGTAAAGTTCATTTTTCAACATAGTGTCTTGTACATCTCATTGTTGCAATGGGTCAAACTGTATCCCTATTTGAACATTTTGTTTTTTCCCTTCCCCTCCCCAAATTATAACAACATCAAATACACTGAAAATAGGGGTTATACTGTTGGGGAGGAACATACAAAGCAACAAAAAAATCACATGGTACCTTAATACGTGAGAAACAACAGCAAGAAAGAAAAAAACCACTTGTGTCCCTATCTGGGGGTTCATTTCACTTAACTTCATCTTATCTGGTCATATGTATATAGTTTTTGACCTTTTCTACTTGTCCCAGACATACATTAGTTATTGCACATAAGGGAAACCATGGGATCTATGTTTCTTTGGGCCTGGCTTATTTCACTTAATATAATTTTTTCCAAGTCTTTTCAGTTCCTAACAAATGGGGTGATGCCATTCTTTCCTATGGAGGCATAGAATTCATATATACATACACATATATATATATACACACACACACACACACACACACACACATATAAAGCTTGATTTTCAAATGAGGTCTCTTGCTAACTTTCCTCAGGCTGGCCTCAAAACTGGATTCCCCTATCTTCATCTTCCAGGTAACTGAGAACCAGCATGCCTGGTGTTAGTCTGGAAATAGGACCTTGCCAACTTTTTGCCCAGGCTGGCTTCAAGCCTTCAGTCTTCCAGGCTTCTCCTGCATAGTAATTGGGTCTACACATGTGTGTAACCCCACCCACCCCTTTGGCTATGTTGACACTCTAGTTACCTCTGAGCCATCAGGCTCTTTAATCTTCTTCTATGTCATTTCCATATTTCCTGGTCCATTTTAAGCACTTCCTGACCTGCACAGCAAAGCGTTCCAACCTGCAGCCCGATCTCTAAGGACTTCCTGCTCCTTGTAATAGTGTAAGGTATTTACACACAAGCATTAGATGCTAAATATACTCATTACTAGGGTGCCATTGCTTTTAGACCCTCTCAGTGTACCAAGCCAACAATGTATGTCTGCTTCCTGAAGTTTATCATGATCTCTGCATCTCTAGCTGTAAAACCAGGTGATGGCGCTGACATCTCTGATTTCAGAGTAGCAGCACAGGGTGCTGCCTAGCCCTGTCCACTTGTGTATTTATAGCCCATCTTCTCATGGTGAAAGTCTATTATTTGTTCACTATTATGTAATAGTTTCAGAACTGGTAAGATATACCATTTCAAGAGACAAGACAACTGGCTACAGTAATTGTTTATAGTTTTACCTTTAACCTCAAGCCAAGTGTTCACAACTAAATGGTTCGTTCCTCTGTTCTCTTTTGGGTGGCTATTATTTAAATACTTGTTAGATTTTTGTCTCAGCCATCCTCCCTAATCTATAGTAATCTTTCAGCATGATATCTTGTATATTGTTTAGGCATTTTCACTTTAAAAAGTTACATATCAAACTTGTCATTTTTCTTTGGGTTTATATGCAATTATAAACATTTTTATGAAGCATCATTTTTTTCCATCAATTTTTCCATCCTGTTTATTTTTGTGCCAGTAATGGGATTTGAATTCAGGCCTAGGACTGTCTCTTAGCTTTTCTCAAGGCTGGTACTTTACCATTTGAGCCACAGCTCCATTTGCAGCTTATTGGAGGTTAATTGAAGAGTCTCATAATTTTCCTGCTCAGGCTGGCTTTGAACCAAGATACTCAGAGCTCAGCTTCCTATGTAGCTCTGATTACAGGTATGAGTTCCATGAAATTCTTAAAACTTTCTGACTCATCTCACCCATGGTTGTTTTATTTACTTATTTATTTTTTAGTACTGGTCCTAAGGCTTGAAGTTAGGGCCTGGCACTGTCCCTGAGGTTTTTTGCTCAAGGCTAGTACTCTACCACTTGATTCACAACTCTACTGGGCTTTTGGTGGTTAACTAGAGATAAGAGTCTCCTGGATTTCCTTGGGTAGACTGGCTTTGAACCTCAATCCTCAGATCTCAGCCTCCTTAGTAGCTAGGATTACAGGTGTGAGGCACTAGTACCTGGCTATTTAAATTTTTGTGGGAAATATCCTTATTTATAAACTTATTTCTTTCTCTGGTGCTGGAATAGATTTTTATGACTAAGTAAAGGACTTGGACACACTGACAATTTTGATAGCTGTCTTCCTAGTTGCATTCCAGAGTAGTGCAACTTAACCTCCCCTTGGTGGGGTTGGGGGTGGGGGTTGGGGTGGGAGGGCTGTATCCTGTCAGAGCTAAAGATACAAACTTCAAAGGGACCATGTTTGGGAACATGCAGAGCACTAGATTGTATGAGATGTCTAACAAGGGGGATTTACTTCCTCACATCCTTATTTTACAATTCTAATAATGGATACAAGTCTGCTAGGGACTCAACTTTCAGCCTGTGGCCTCAGACATTCATCACTTTATAGTCTTATCCATCTGTTTCAAAACCATGGGTTCCAAGAACAGCATTCCTGAGGCTCCCAGACTGTAAACACTCCTGGAGAGGCAGGATTTACTGTGTTCTGCCAGCCTTGTTCAAGTGACCATTCCCCCATAGAAAACGTATCATCCATCCAACTTCTGCCCTTAAGAACTTGAACTTTCTGCTCTTTATACTTGGGTTTAAAAATAATCCTCAGATATAACATCTTTGTAGATCACATGAGTTGGTTCGTTAACTGTTAGAGAAGGCTGCCAAGGAGCCAGGCATTCTAGAAGCTGCACCCCTCATACCATGCATGGGTAAGAGGAAACTGCAAAGGCCTCAGCCAAACCCCATTACCTCAGGCTCTGTGCGACAGATGCAGGGTGAGTCATAAGGAGAAGCAGGTCACAAGATGGATGCATAATTAGAAAATGACCCTAATCTTGGTGGGTCAGCGCCAGTAATTTGGTGGATGTGGGACAACAGCCTAATGAACTGGCATCGATTCAGCTTCTTACTGTGAAATGGACCCTAAGCGACTATCAAGTTCAGAGAAGAGCAACTTAAGGCCCAGAGCAGTCCAGGGACATGCCCAAAATCTCAGGGATACTTACTAGCTCTGCAAATCTTTTTGTTTTTATTTTTCAATACAAGTACTTTTATTATTTATAGAAATATTAACTTGGATCTCATACACATTCAGTGTCAATATCAAGTTTACTATGTTTAAGTTTATAATTCCCATCGGCCATTATACTCAAGCTAATTCAGAGAAAAGCCAGAAGAACTAAAATGGCAGGGAACATGGCAAATACTCAATCTTATATGATATACAAGACAACTATCTTCCACTCCACATGCAAGAGGCTGAGAGTAGGTAGTTTGGCATTTTGGTCAAACTGTAATGACAAGTTCACCTCATCAGTGAATATAGACAAAGCACCAATTCTGCTATCAGCATAGCATTAGGTGCTTAGCCACAAGTAGTTTGACACAGTAAGTTACGTTTAACACCTATTTAAGACTTCTCATTTACAGAATTCTTGGCATCCTTGAGTTCTGAAATTTTTATTGCTCTGCAACCTGAGGTTTGTGTTGTCTCTCTTTCAGTCCCCAAAGCTCTGTTTTGAGTTCTCCAGGCTTTGGTGGAATTTCAGGTATTGTCAGGTCAGGCCGGTAGTACCTGTGCACCACTTGGGCACCCGTGCACATGGCTGCCAACATTTCCAGGTAGCTGGGCCAGGACACACCTGCGGGTATGGTCGGAGGGCTGGCGGCGAGGGAAAAGGGGCAGCATTAGAAGGTTCTAAGCTCACTACCAGCCGCACAGTTACTAGGGTTCGGGGTACTCTCCTGCCCACCACGCACAGGTCTGTCTTGTCGGTTCTGACAGGTCACCAAGAGGATGAACGCTGGGCCCAGGGCCAAGGTGCACCCTTCAGGCCTTGGTCAATCAGCGAAGGGCTCTCTGCGTGCCCATCCCCACCCCACGTTGCAGGAAGAGAGGCGAGGAGACAATACCCCTCCCCCTCCCCCAGCCCTGTGGGGTGCCGGACCCAACCTTATTTTTCAATTTATTATTATTATTATTATTAAAAAGGTGATATACAGAGGGATTACAGTTACATAAGTCAGGTAAAGAGTACATTCCTTGGTCGACCCCAGTTTTTCCCTCCTGTCCACCCACAAATTATATAGTTCAATTTCAACATAGTGTCCAGTGAGTAGCATTGCATATTTGTTCATTCCTTGTCCCTCCATTTCTAGGTCTTCCCTTACACTCCCAAAGACAGATAAACAAACATACAGTACAAAAAGGGAAGAAAATAAAAACAGCAAAAAAGGAAAAGAAAAGCTCTTGTTGTCATTCCCTGGAGTTCATTTCAATAAATACTATTTTGTATGACCAGATGCTCTGTGGATCTTAACCAGGTCTCCTGATTGGAAGTTCAGTGTTCTTTCACTAGAAGGAATTATCTGCATTATCTGCCTGCCTCTAAAGCCCATGTCTATGAAGCCTGGCAGAAGTGGTTGAAAGCCAGGAGGAGACAACCTCAACTATCCTCTGCCATTGCCACATGCACCTGGTAGAATTTTCTGGTGCAATTCAGATGCCAACTCCACTTCTTTGCACATTCATCTCTCAGAAGGGAATAAAATTCACTTATGATTCATTTCCCTAGCCCTCTACCTTTTTAATATTTTTATTGTAAAAATACTGTACAGAGGGGTTACAATTACATGAGCAAGGTAATGAGTACATTTCCTATCAAGCATTGTTGCCTCCTCCTTTGTTTTTCCCTACCATCCCTTCCTTCCCACCTCCACAACTACGCTGCCCGCCCCCCAGCCTGAACTGTAAAGTTCGTTTTTCAACATAGTATCTTGTACATCTCATTGTTGCAGTGGATCAACCTATATCCCTATTTAAGCATTTTGTTTTTTTCCTTCCCCTTCCCAAATTATAAAAAGATGCAGGGCACTGACATCAAATACAGTGAAAACAGGGGGAGGAACATACAAAGAAACAAAAAAAAAATCACATGGTATATTATAAATACATTAGAAACAATAGCAAGAAAGAAAAAACTACTTGTGTCCCTCTTGGGGTTCATTTTGCTTAATATCATCTTATCTGGTCATATGTACATAGCTTTTGACCTTTTCTGCTTGTCCCAGACATATTCTAGTTATTACAAATAAGGGAAACCATGGTACCTATGTTTCTTTCAGCCCTCTACCTTTTTAGCCTTTGTGCATGAATCTAACTCCAGAGCAAGAATCTTTCCCGATGCAATGGAAACCATGTGCAATGAAATATGTAGCAGAGACCTGTAATTTCCTGACCCCAACACCATTAACCCCCAGCAATGCCATTGCATTAGCTTGTTTTTGTGTCATTATATAAACACACATTTGCCAGTTCAAAGCACTTGGAAGTGTTTCATTATGCTTTCTTCCTGGCCATGACCGCTGACCACTTGCCAAGGCTGAAGAATAACTAGTTTGTCCTGCACTAGAAGGAATTAGGATTGTAGGAGAAACAGGATAATTGCACAGCATTATTTCGTTGTACTTTAGAATATGGCTGTATTAGTCAGTCTTCTGTCATTCTGACAAAATACCTAAGGGGGAAAAATCAACTTTAAAGAAGGAAGGATTCTTTCTGGCTTGAGTTTCAGTCCATGATCATGTGGCTTCATCATTTCTGGGAGTGTTGGTATGAGAGCTCAGGATGGCAGAGAGCCAAGTAGTGCCACATTGCTCACCTCATAGTAGCTAGGAAGCAGAGAAAGAGAGAAAGGAACCCTGGCCTCTTTAAGGACATGCTTCCCCTCCACACTCCTTCCTACCCCCAGTGACCTACTTCTGCTAACTAGAACCCACCCCCCAAAGCCCATTCAGCTATGAACTATCAGTGGATTAACCTATGGATGTGGTCAACCCCCATATGATCCAATCAACTCTCAAGTCGCACCTTCAAACATGCTGAGGTTTGGGGGAATATTTCAGATCCAAATCAGAACATAGTTGTTAAAGAAGTGTTTGTGCAGGGGCAGTGGCTCATACCTATAATCCTAGCTCCTCAGGAGGTTGAGATTTGAGGATTGAGGTTCAAAACCAGCATGAGCAGGAAATCCAAGAGACTTAATACATAAGAATGATTGGGCTCAATTTCCAGTACTTTAGAGAAAAAGATTATTGCTTGAAGATGGAAAATTACACTGTTTTGATAATTACACATTGCATTCCTGAATTGAATTACCATAAAGAACTCCATAAAGATGTACGAATAGTATATCTCTATAGGTGCATTTCCTTACTCTAGTACAGCTTTCCCTCCTGTCTCCTTTGTGTTCGGGTTGTCCAGCTTAGTGACCAGGCTGTGTTCAGAGAAATGCCTCCTATGGTGATCACATTGTTATGTGACCATCACAGAACAGACAGGCATAAACTAAGAGAACTGTGAAACTGATGGGACCACAGTTGCATATGATATCTACCACTGATTGAACCTGGCTCATGACTATATATTACAATTGTCTGTGTTATAGGATCAGCAAGGGAATCCTGTGTGATTACTTTTCAGAGCAATAAAAAGGTGAAAAACTGTGCAGTTTTATCCCTACCTATACAATATCCTTTTCTGGAGCTCAGCAATGTCTCAAGTAAGATCTCTCCCCTGTACCTCCCCACCCCAAATGTCATTTTTAACTTCTGGCCTAGCTACCACAGGATTCTTCTGGGTCTGCATAAGTCACTTATGCAAAAATTGTGCTTGAGTCCCTTTGTCATTTAGGTTTTTCCCAGTATGTATATGTATAGCTCAGAGTTACTCTTCAGTGACCACTCTCCAGGAAATGTAGACTTTCTTCTTTTTCTTTTCTTTTTTTGTTTTTGGCTTTGCATTCAGACAGACAGGAGCATAAAGTTCCCTTTCTGATCCCTTTAGAGACAGTTTGGCCCTGGACACATACACACAAAAATCCAGTCTGCCAGAACTGAGTGTAATGTCATAGGTTTAAGCCTGCTTTCCTAAAATTCACCTCTGGTTTTGGAGGTCCTAGTTTTTCAGTTTGCCCAGCTGTTTTAGCTCTGAGTACTACAGGGCTTCTGCCTTGTGCAGACTGGTCCATGTATGGCTTGAAGGATGCTGTTGGGGATGTCACAAATCCTTCTCCACTTGGCCCTTGGTAGGTGCAGCCTAGCTCATGCTCATGATCTTCTTGACCTCTGGAGTTGATGGTGGTCTCAGGACTGCTCTGCTGGCATCCTCACCTGGTTCTATTAACTTCCCATGGCTCTGCTGTTTTACTGTAGCTCCCAGACTCCTTCTGTATCTAGCAGTCATTGCCTCTGCCTTCCACCCCTCTGCCTTCCACCTTACCCTTAGGTACAGGTTCTCCAAGCCTCTCAAGCATGATGCTAGAGCTTGCTTTTGTCCCTTTGGGCTTGCATTTCCTCTGACAAAGACCTGTACTATGCATTGAGGCCCAGAATAATGACACTCCTGCTGTACACATGGGCTCTGAGAAGGTGTGTGTGTGTGGAGGGGTGCTTTTCCTAGAAGGGTACGGATTCTCCACCCTGTATGAGAGCCAGCAGGGGCAATGAGAGTCAGCAATGAGGCTCATGCTCTTGGCAGCCCTGTCACTGGGAGGTGGCCACAGTCTCCCCAGCCACTCCTGCCTGGTGAAATGCTTCCCCAAGAAGGGGTTAGAGAGAAAGAAATTCCAGCAAGAATAGATGGACCTTCCAAGGGGTGGGGGTGGGGGGTGAGGCAGAAGGAATTGCCTTGTACTTGGCTATATTTGTCTAGAATGAAAGGCTTAGGTAGAGCTTCCAGAAACCAAAGCAAACAAGAAACCTGGTAAAGGATATCACAGCCAGATTGACTGCTGTTAATTGTATGTGTACAGGTACTACCTCAGTGTCCACTAGGGATTCATATCATGGTCAGTCTTGCATATCATAAAGGCTCAAGGATGCTAATGCATATAAAACTTACATAAAACAGTTTAGTGTTGCAATAACTTACATCCATCTTCCAATATACTTTACATTGTCTCTAGACCCTTCACCTAATACCATGTACCTGCTATGTGAATAGTTATGAAGTTGTTTAGGGGGTAATGGCAAAAATAAAAGAGCTATCTTCAGTGCACTCGATTTAAAAAAAAATATTTTCAGCTGGGCCTGGTGGCTCACATCTGTAGTCCTAGGTATTCAGGGGCTGAGATCTGAGGATTGTGGTTCAAAGCCAGCCCAGGCAGAAAAGTCCCATGAGTCCCTTGTCTCCAGTTAACCACTCAAAAAAACCTGGAAGTGTCACTATGACTCAAGGTGGTAGAGTGCTAGCCTTGAGCAAAAAAGAAAGGGACATTGCCCAGGCCCGAGTTCAAGTCTCACAATTGACCACAAACAAAAAAAATACTTTTGCCTTCATATCAGTATCATCATTTTTATTCTACTTCCATGAAGTTTGTTTTCTGTTATTTGTGTATTACCCTTTTTCCCCCCAAAACATACTACATTATTATTTTTTTTGGGGGGGGGGTTCAGTCATGGGGCCTGGGCCTGGGCGCTGTCCCTCAGCTCTTTAGCTCAAGGCTAGCGCTCTACCACTTGAGCCACAGCACCACTTCTGGCTTTTTTCTTTTTGCTTATATGGTGCTGAGCAATCGAACCCAGGGCCTCAGGCATGCAAGGCAAACACTCTACCACTGAGCCACCTTCCCAGCCCCATTATTTCTTTTTGTAGGGCTGGGGTACAGCTCAGTGGTAGACCCTTGCCTAGTACATGCCAGACCCTAGGATCAACCAGAGGTGTCAGTATTTCTTTTTAGACACTTTTTTTGGTCAGTCCTGGGGCTTAAACTCAGGGCCTGGGCACTGTTCCTGAGCTTCTTTTGCTAAGGCTAGTGCTCTACCACTTGAGTCACAGTGCCACTTGCAGCCTTTTCTGTTTATATGGTGCTGAGGAATCAAACCCAGGGCTTCATGTATTCTAAGCAAGTACTCTGCCACTAAGCCACATTCCCAGACTAGATGCATTTATTTTTAACACAAATATTTTATCACTAGTACAAACAGCCAATTAGCAAATACAATGGAAACAAGACACAAATTCTGGCTAGATATTGTGAAATGCTCTGAGTTTGTGGCCTATTTTCTATATCAACAAAGAAGTAGAGAAACATTTGCTGTATGTGGTAAGAATTTACTGTCTGGAGCTCTTCACAGAGAGTAGCTAATTTAATATCCATGATAACTGAATAAGCTCTTTCTCCTGTTTTACATACAAGGAAAGTGAGACACATGATAAACAAATGGTAGAAGCAAGATTCCAACAGATGGGGGTTCATTTTTAGGGGCATATTTCCCATACACCATGAGAAGTGACAATAATGGACAATATGGGTTGGTGAAACATTTTTCCAGAGTTTGGAAACCCTTGGGGACAGCCATAGACTACTCTCAGGAAAAAAAACAAAACAAAAAAACTTCCTTCCAAACCCTGCACATTCTCCCTGCTTATGGAGACTCAATTTATATCAGCATCTTCAATGTTCTCAAAGCTCCACAGCAAGGACCCTCTGGCTTTAATTAACTCCACATTCCTCAAACCTATTGGTCCTTGCTTTTTAAAGCCTTCTTCCAGGCCCCCGACAGTCCTTCCCAATACAGTACAATAGCAGATCCCTCAGGTAATAACCTTCATTGTTTGTTAGGGTTGGGGACAATGAGGGGGGGAGGGGGAAATCAACAGTCACAGGCAATGCTACCCTAGGCACTGCTGCTACCATCTAGGGTCCTTTCTTTCCTCCACCAAACAAAGAATTACGATGTAGGAAAATGGGAGCAGAGGCAAAGTTTACTTGAAAGTGAGAGTAAGGCACCAAGGAAGGTGAGGATGGCCTCTTGGCTTCTGGTGGGTTGGCATAACCCACCCCCTCCCCAATTAAGATTCCTGGCTGGGAGCTACCTTACGCCCTAGGAAGGGGAGAAAGAAGAAGATGTGGAAGAGGAGTAGTAGGAGGGCTGTACAGATTTCTTGAGGCAAGAGAATGAGAAATGGGATCTGGAAATCGGGAGTCTGTTGTAGCATTTGTGAGGTTTCCCTTTTATATCTCTTTGGGTGAATCTCAGCTGTTCTGGCATCTGTTGGGTCATTGCCCACATCAACCTGAGGGGAGGGACACCTGCCTCTGCACAGGTCTATTTGAGGGTTATAAAGAGCATTGTCTCAGTGTTACTACCTCTGTCTTCCAGGGTCTTCAAGAAGAAGCACTGTCTCCACTGGCCCTGCTGTCTCTCCCTATCTGCCTACTTTTCTCTTTGTCTCTCTCTCATTGCAGATCAGCACAGAAGGCCTCCCTGTGTTGGAGATGCTGGATTCAAAGTTCCGAGAATGTAAAATCTACTTTAACAAGCCCGCAATGATGAGATGGGGGAAGTAGCTGTGGGAAGCAGCCATACATGTGATAAATAATGCACTTGTAATTGTCACCACTGAAATCTGCTTTTCATTGTCACCTGCTCAGCAGATTTCTTAATTTAATTAAAAAAAAAAGACTCAAGTTGATGATAGATGGTGAAACTATGCTGTCTTCATCAGGATAAGGTGGCCATGGCACTGAGTGTCAGTATTTGACATTACCTGGACATAGCTGCAAGAGAGAGCCATTTACCTGTACCATACCTGGTTTCAATACTCTTGGAAATTCTGTCAGACGGTTTCCTTTATCACTGATAGAGGCAAATTTGAACTCAGGGCAGTCAATGATTCCACCTACCTTTCCAGGCATCTTTCAGGAAGACCGTCCTCATCAGCTGCTTCCTTCTTCCTTGGGCCCAGGACCCTAGTGCCTCTGGGCAGGACTTGTCTGGAAGACTGTCTTGGATTCTACATATCTTATCAGCTCTTCTTAATAACAAAAATAAAAACAAAATGCATGGAACAGAGTGGGGGGGGGGGAAGGAATGCCAGAAGGCCCCCAGAATAGGGTACTTACAAGCCCTGGAGGACTCCTGAAAAGCAAGACATGGGAGAGGGAACTATGTCTTAAGTCCATGAGTTTGATTTAGGAATCTAATACCTCCCTGAAGAAGGAGTCTGACCTAAATCACATGGCCAGTGTTGGCTGAGGATGCATAGGACTTGTATCCCCAGTCCCAGAGGCTTGAGAGTGCAGAGGCAGACTTTTAGTTTGCTTGCTTCTTTTTATTTTAAATGCCAGTTCTAGGGATTAAATTCAGGTCTTGAACTCTCACCTGGGTTGTTTGTTCCCTGCTGGTTTTCTGCCACTTGAGCTATGGCTCCAGCCTAGTTTTGGCTGGTTATTTTGCAGATGGTGTCTCATAGACTTTTCTACCTGGGATAATTTTGATTCTTGATTCTCTAGGTTTCAACGTCCTGAGTCGCTAGAATTATAGGCATGAGCCACTAGCACCTGGAGAGCTTTAAAGTGGGGGAACTTTGAGTTTCTCCTTAAGGGCTGCCACCCCCACCCTCTGTAGCTCAAAGTTAAGAACTAAAAATATAACATAGTTACTCCCTAACTAGTAACACTGAATAAAACAAATAATTAAACTGGAAATGCACTGCTAAACCATTTCTTTTTACTTTTATTGACATCTTTTAAAATTTCTGCCCTATTAAGACAATGCAGTGAGAAATCGCAATTACAATTCACAGACTGTGGCATGAAGAACACATTTCATCCGGAATCACAGCAAATCTTTTCCTCTTTATTCAGACAGAAGAGTCCAATACACAAATGTCAATAGGAGCAGAGTTGTTTTTTCTTAGAAGGGGGAAAACATTTATTCTGGCAGCACTTTTACAATTCCAGGAAGTGGTTTTGCAGGAATAGAAACCATAACAAACTTGGAGGGCATTTGTTTGAGAGGCAAGGGACTCACTGGGTGGAACAAATTCCTCTTGTGCTTAGTGAATGGTCTGTCAGCTTTGGCTGGTGGCTGAGTCTTTCCAGGTGTTGAGAGAGAAAATGGAATTTCCTATATAGATGGCAAAAATTCCTGTAGAGCAGTGTTTTCTGTATCTTCAACCTCTCCCCACCCCATGCTGAAGCAAGTTCTCATGCTTTTCTGGAACTTCTTGTGGTCATATGACCCTCTACCATGACAACCCTTTGGTCACAACACACTAGGCTTCCTCATACACTGCTTCTCTAGGGTTCGGATAATAGCACAAAACGTCACTTGTCAAAAAAAAGTAGTAGATTTTAAGAACATGGGCATATGGGTTCATTAAGATAGCAAATATTTTGCAAGGGTACAGCCCCAGTGACATTACTTTTACTTGATAGAATTTCTGGGGAGTGAGCCCAAAGTCATATGTTTGGAAGTCTTTTGCAAAGACTGGACAAAGTTGATTGATTTAACAGCTGAAGAACTGTCTGGTGCCAATTAAAAAATTCTAACTGCCAATGGTCCATAAAGCAATTAAATGTTACCATTCAGTACCCACACACACACACACACACACACACAAACACACACACGAGAACTGTGACAAAAGGGTTAACTAAATTCATCTTGTGACTATGTTCTAAAGGAAAATGAAATTTTACACATGAAGTGTCATAGTCAATTTTTTTTAAATCTATAAGTAGGCTACTTGACTTTATAATCAGGTTCTAAAGTCAAGGAAATTAACTGTCTGTCCCTACACAAATTGATTTGCAAATTCTTAAATGTAGTTGTGTGTTCACTCTTAAGTTTTAAATATGTGGAGACTTTGTGCTCTATGGCATTCCAACAGTCAATACTTTGTAAAGGAAGTGAACGAGTAATACCAGCTGACTCACTTTCTTGTCTGACACTAGTGAAAAACAGTTTTACACATTTTCTATCCACACATGGAGGAGGCAGATGTAAACAGAGTCCTTTACATTCCTTAAAGAATGTGTTCCTACTGCAGCAGCATATGCTGTTTGGCCCCAATTAGGAGACAGAGTAATTTGTTGGGTTGGCTAAAGTTTTACCTCCTGTAGATTCCAAAACAAGGCTTTTACTACTTCTTGGCAGTAGATGTCCAACAAGAGGCTCTGTATGAATAAATAATTGGGACTGTGTTCTCCATTGAGGAGGATGTTCTCAGGGATATTGAGGGACTGGCAAAGCATACTGCTAATTATTGAACCCTGTTGTAGAAAAAAAAAGGGTACTTAATAGCAGAACTCTTCACATGATTAGAATTGACTCCTGATCATCTTGAGCTATTGAAAGACTCAAGTTTTCCATGGATTATTTGTCTCCTTAGGCCCCCTGCAAGAGGCTGCCCCAGTGCTATGTGGGAAGTGAGGAGACATAATCGCCCCACCATGCAAGGTAACTGCCAGGCATTTATGAAATGCTTGTTGCAAGATCTTGCTAATTACTGGCAATTTCTTTGAATCAATGCAAAACCCAAGAGCTAATCTATATCTTTTTTTTTTAACCTCTCCATTTTAATCTGAGAAGGTGGAGTAAAGAATAAAGAACAAAAAAATGTCCTATACTAAAATAAGAAATCAGCCTCATCTTGGCACAGTTCTCATGCAAAATATTGCACCCAGTGTCAACTAATGCTAGAAGCTTCGAACTGTATAAATTTAAATGTATTTGCATATTATAAAAATAAAGATAAACATATACATATCTTACACTAGTGACGGAACAGCAATGAACGTCAGTCGATCGATCCATCTTTTCACATTGAACAGAACTGAAACCCGAGTGCTCAAAATACTGCCACCTGTACTGTCACTATGGCTTAAATGTGCACAGAAAACAAAATCCCTGAGAAGCCATTAGACATTTTTTTTTTCTTTTCTTCAAGTAGCATTCTACTTGGAGGATCACAGTTCTGAGGTTCAGGTTGTGAAACATATGCTCCATGTTCTTGCCCGTCCTTCCCCGCCCCTCCGCACCTCTCCAATGACCCTCTGAAAGCACCTGGAACACAGCATCACTCCTGGTCACAGAAAGTGCCTGGGAGAGGGGAGGGCTCGCAGGTACAGAAGATGATCCATGTGAGTTCCACTCTCTATTTTCTCCATGGAAATTCCACAGCCACGAAAGTCACTGGTTTCTGTGCTTTTCACCAACGTTCTTCCTGGATCGGGGGATAAGACAGCCCAGAAATGACCACCAGTAAAGGAGAATGGAAGTCTCAAGTTTAAGAAAAGAAAGTCATTCCATAAATGGCATTTCTGCACAGATTTTCATTTCTACTTCTAGAAAAAACATGTAGATATCAGGCCAAAAATGCACCCTCCCTCTGTCCCCCCAAAAGCCTTTCTAGTAGTAAACTAGTCAAACATTACTGCTTGTGAGACTAAACTCAGATCAGCCCTAAAGTGGAAATGATGCTAATTGGCTTTAACTAGTTATTCTATTGTAATTTTATAGCTTAACAAGATTTCTAATTAACAACCCCAAACTCTAAACACAGATGTGCTTCCTTCCAATCAACCCAGGTGGACACACAGTGAATAATCCAGTAGGAATAGAAATACATGCTAAAAAATAAGCACAGACATCAGGACAAAAGTCTTCCTAGCCAGGCTGTCAACCCAGGTCTTGAGTTTGGCGTTACACAGAGAAGCCATTAGCTGCATTCTCACTAATCAAAGTGACAGACAACTGAAATACAGTAGAGGAAAAAAATGTCAAATGCATCCATCATTTACTTGGGTTTTTCTATAGTGACCTGAGTGTGGTTTCCTAACAGCATTTTAACAACATTTAATAAAACCTACAAAACAATGTAAGGAAAGGAAAGGGGGTTATGTCCTGCTGCCCCCATCCCATTTTATGTCGCTCAATGCTGCTTGATTTCAAGGACATTGATTGATACACTGATAATTCAGCATCCACCTAAGATGGCCCTCTAGCCCATCCAAGAATTAGCTGGGGGCTCCTTCAAGTTAGGTAATAACAACACCACCAAAAAACTCTTTTCTATGTATTATATGACAGGAATAGCACATTTCATGTAGCTAGCATTTTATTAACTTTTTAACCCCTACCAGAGCTTCCAGATCCCAGAGGAAGGGTATCTCCTTCCTTACAGGCAAGGCCTGGCTGTCAACTAGACAAGACTGTACTGAAACATGCTTGGTGGGTGAGAGAAAAGTTGGCTTTTATATAAACTGTTTTTTGTTTTTTTTTATGTCCCAAGACCAGTTTGAACTTGGTCCCTGCTACTTTCACTCATTGGCTAGCATTCCACCAACTGAGCCACACCTCCAACCACATGAACTTTACAAAATCCTATGAATATAATGAATCCTGGGAAGAAAAGGTTTGACATTGTGTTAAATTCTAGTAGCAACTGTCAAGAGGATGTCAGGGTACAAATGCACATCTCAACCAGGTGCTTCACAGGGGGCTGTGGGTGTGGCCAATAAATAGTCTCCTCACTGAAGTCTCCTCACTGAATCTGATGAGCCTTCAGAAGCGAAGACAGTTGTGTCAGGCTGGCTGCTCCCCTGAGTAACAAAAGTCTGAGAAACCCAGAACAGCTAGCCCAGTAGACCCACAGGAAAAAAAAATTCCACCACTCATTCTTTCCAGAATGTTTCACATCCATACTGTGTCTCATGTTTGCATTCTTTAAAAATCCAAGAAGAATCAAGAACCAGCAAGTCTCCAGCCTTTTCTATTGCAATAAACTCATCCTTATCCTTCAAGAAGCACCTCTGATGCTACTTCCTACAACTTTTCCTGATTTTTCTGGGAGATTCATTTCTGCTCACAAGACTGTTCATACATCTATGAACAGAGGTGGCAGGTATAGTTTATTAATATATTTATTTTAATTGCAATCTGATACAAGTTTCACTGTTCCTTTGATTCCTGTTGTTTTAGATTCTTGAAGGAGTGTCTGACTGGTCATTTCTGAATTCTCAAGGCCTAGTCAATGGCTATCAGAAGGCCACTACTCAACAGAGGCCTACTGATAGATGATGCACATGCTGTCTTGACAAAGTAGCTATGTGATCATTCTTGTAATGAAGTATTAGTAAAGTATTAAAGAGATAGCTGGGAGCAGGTGGCTCAATGCCTATAATCCTAACTTCTCAGGAGGCTGAGATCTCAGGATTGCTGTTCAAAATTAGGCCGGACAGGAAAGTCCCTGAGATCCTTGTCTTCAATTAACCACCCCCCCACAAAGAAAAAAGTCAGAAGTAGAGCTGTGGCTCAAGTGGGTGCTACCATTGAGCTAAAAGCTCAAGTACCACACTCGGGCACTCATGCACACACACCTCCCCCCCCCCCCCCCCCACACACACAAAGTATTAAAGAAACATATAGGAAAATATAGCTGATTATAGAGTCCAAAGGGTTAGGGATGCTTTTGTAAAGAAGGATGGGCTTTCACCGACAAGACAAACAACAGCCAGGGAACACTATGGTTAACCCCTCCTACAATAAGGGGAGCATCTCGTAGGTCAGCAGAGTGGCTTGGGTCTGATGGTGATAGGTCCTATGAATTAGGCTCAGGATTTTGAACTTGAGTGTGTAATCACCACTCCAGGCTTTTAAATTGGGAGAGAAGTGACAGGGACTGACAATTCAAGATAATATTGATTGAAAGGATGAGAAAAATAGGTAGTAGGAGGCCAACTGAGACTCACAGGAATCTTGGCAGACATGGTAGGCCTAGAGAAAAGCAAGGGATCAAGGAGAAAGTTTCATGAACGAATTCAGTCATGACTAGGCACCCTGATAAGCTGGGACTACAGGTCTTGGTGACAGACTACTTACGAGAAAGGGAGGAGAGAAAAGCATTGAAGTTGATGGACTGCTGGCTTGGACAGTTAGGTGCAAAGCTATTGTATTACATGAGAAAGAAAAGGGATGAAGAACTTCGCAGGAAGCAAATGGTAGATCAGTTTTACACCCCAAAGCTTACAGGGAGCTCCCAAATAGGACATTGGTGAGAGGCGTGCAGCTAGGGGAGGGCTCAGCCTAGGGTAGCTGAGCTCAGACCCCAAATTCTCCCAGGGTATACAATTTGTCCCTTCTGGGACACCAGAAAGACAAACAATTCAAAGTATTTAGACACGCAGGCTGAAATAGAGGCTATCACATTTAGAGAGGGAGCCCATGACACCATGCAGGCTTCATAGGGAAACACAGAGTTGGTCATAAGAGACTTTCCTCTGATTTCCATGGAAGAAACAGGCAGGGCAGGATCAGCAGGCTTAGGACTGGTAGTAGATAATTTCAGTGACCACTGGGATGCAAAGGTTGTCACTTACTGGTGTTATACCTGGCCCTGGGAGAATTAGGGCAGGTGGACAGTGACCTAGAGCATGACAGCCAATACGACAGGTAGTTAGGGTCTGAGCTATGGACTGGTTGGTGTTGACTGTGGAGAAGGTGCTGGCAGGTGAGTGGTTTGCTCTCTCTAGGAACAAGCTCACCCTGTGAGAATCAGATCCTCCAGATCACTGAGGCCCCTGCTCATGCACTGTGTATGTATGGATAGATCACAATGCAACACAAATATTACATATTACAAATGCATGTGAACTCAAAAGCAGTAAAATAAAAGCTCCATGCTAATAGAGAGAGTAAACTCTTATTCAAAATACTCATCTATGGAATTAACACCTCTCCTCCTTTGTACTAGTAGGGGAGTTGAAGCTTTTCCTGATGTTATATTCTGTATACTATTAACAGCAAATTAGCTGGGTGCTGGTAACATACACTTGCTATCCTATTTATTCAGGAGGTTGAGGTCTGAGAATTACAGTTCAGAGCCAGTCTGGGAAGGAAAGTCTATGCGATTCTTATCTCCAATTAAGCAGCAAAAAGCCAGAAGTTAAACTGTGGCTCAAGTTGTAGGGTGCCAACCTTGAGAGAAAAGACCATACAAGAGTTGAAGGCCCTGAGTTCAAGCTTCAGTACCAATACACACACATACCACACACACATGCATGCACAAATACAAGCAAATTGTAAAATGACCTTCTCCCCAACAAGGATAGAAGGTTGAGGACTGTTTAATATAGTACATTGAACAAAAGAATCACATAGTTTGCATATGTGAATGGATTCTAGACAAAGAAAAGACCAGTTACCCTATGAAGCCCTGTTCCCAGAAATCTCTACACTCCCAACACCCCCTCCCCTTTCCCCTAAATTCTCCAGGCCCCCAGAGCTTTTCAAAAAAACTACCTGTGCTCCCCCAGAGACTTACCCTTAAAACTGGTGCTCCTAAAGTCACAGAGTGGGTACAGTAAAAATGTTGGCATTAGGGAAAGATGCACTATCATTTCCATTTAATTTTCCAAGAAAGTATGAAGATACCTAAGCAGAGAGGGGAGAATTCCAGTATCAATGTGGCTGATGGGAGGCTAGGAGGTTAAAGAGACAGTTTCTCCCAGCCTGTACAAGCAGCCAGACACAGCATGAGCCTGACACTCCTATCACAGGACAAAACAAATCAATGCCAATCAACGGGCTTTACTATTAGGCAAACTCCAAACCTAATTTTATCCTCTCAAATACCAGCCCCTGCTCACCACGCTTTAAAATACTGTAGTCAGTAGGAAAGAACTCCATTATGATAAAAACCAAATTCATCTTCCTTCTATTTCTTTCTGAAATCACTCTTCAAGTCCATATTGTCTAACCTGAGCATATATAGACTGACTTTGCTGGATTATTTGGTATGATAAAGGCTACTGTCTGAATCCTGCCTTTTATACAAGTTGTTTCTGTGGGTCTTAAATATCTTTCTGTCATAATGAAGTCATGACCAAAGTTCTTGTGAAAAGTCATCAATGAATTTTTGAGAATACTTACAGATAAGCAAGTAACTGGAATTTAATGGGGTTCCTGCTCAAATGAGAACTCTACTATATAGAAGCAATAATTCAAGTTGTTGTTTTTTTAAGGAGTTTTGAAATATAATATCTCAGCTTGCCCTCCATTGTTCTAATTAAAACCTTTGGAAAAGGAGAAAGCTTAGCTCAACAATTTTCAGACCAGTCCAGTTTTGTTAATTCTGTAACACATGACCTGTTCAAATCAGAATTATCTCCCTTCTTTATTCCTCATAAATCCCCCCTCCCCTCTCACTGCTCAGATGAGAGAGTA